AATAATAATAATAATAATAATAATAATAATAATAATAATAATAATAATAATAATAATAATAATAACTACAACAACAACAACAATGCATGGGGCATTTTATAAGGGATTACCATTGAGACTGTATTATTTGCGAAGGGTACAGTTCCCTTAATTTGCTTGTTCATCCAAAACAGAGGAAGCACACTGAAAGGCCAGTGAATGCATGTCTTAGAAAAACAAAATAAAGCCAAGAGACTGAACCCTTCGTTCAATAGCTAACAGGCAGCTTTAAAAAAAAATAATAGCTGTTTTGAAGGGAGTTTGGATAACGTTTGTAGTTCAGAAAGTTGTCCAAAACATGTTAAACAATTTAACAAGGATCAGCTTGTAATTATGTTATTTACACGGGAGAGAGATTTGAGGAAGAAACAGGAGCTGATTTCAGAGAAAAAGGACGGGTGTGGGTGACCTCTGGAGCATGGAGCTTGAATTATGGAGATGGGGGACTGTGAGGTGAATCCGGACTAGTGGAGAACAAGATGACTTTTCACCTCTGCACATTTAACTTTTACATCCCAAATAAATGTCTGATGATTCTAAATCATCTCTTTTAAAAGGAAGGGGGGGGGAGAGAGAGAAAGGGAAAAAGAATGGGGGGGAGGCAGGGAAGCAAGTCACCTTTGATTTTTAGTGCCACAAGATTAAAACCTGATTTCCTCTTATTGCCCTTGTTACAAAATTAATCCTCCAAATTGTTCTAAAATAACATTGGGGTGCTTTTTCTCCAGGGTTTAAAAATAAACTCCATATCATTCTCTAACATTTCCCTTTCTGGTCATTTCTTCTTTTCCTAACACCAGCACATAAGTCCAGAGGGCAAGTTTAAGTTAGTAACCACAAAATGTTTTCAGGTCCTAAATATTTATCCTCAGCATAGAATTTTTAAGTAACACATCCGAGAGGCTCATAGAAAAAGAGTGACAAAAACCTACCCAGAAAGCCCTGTAGAAACAAGCCCCAACTCAACAACTCACCAACTCTTAGAAAGCTTAAACTTCTCTCACCTGTTTTGTCATAGAATCTATTAGCCGAACGTACAAATCCTGTTCCGTTCTAACCCCTGCAAAAAATGGAAGAAAAACCAGTCAGAGGGCATCTGGCATGAAAAGGACCATGGGTTGAGCAAGATAAGTTACGCAGATATGGCATGTATTCAAGCATACTTAAGAAGTTGGGGAGGAGGAGAGAGAGAAAGAGAATGTATTTAAATAAAAAGAATTAAAGAACTCAAAATTGTGGACTGCCTGAAGCACATAACCCAAAGAAACAGGAGATAGGAAACTACTTGTTTCATTACACTCGCCTGGGTTACTGTAAAGTCAAAAGGAAAAGAAGACCAACATTGATGGCTTGGATTTCCGAATGCCATTTCCCTTATCTATTTTGCTACCAAGCTTCCAGGCTCATCCAACCTGGCTGTGTAACATCTGGCATGTTAAGAGGTAGAAGCCACAATAATTAACATTCATTTGCCAAAGCAAGGCAGGGAATCTCTTAAAGGTGATGTTGTACTGGAGTCAATATTGATTCCGGATGGGTTTTTATTTATTTATTTATGTTTGGCTTTGCTTTGTTTTTGTGCACGGTGTTTTGTTGTTGTTACTTTCTACTTCAAGACAGCCGGTTAAATCATGTAAAGTACCATTGACTTATTGATCTTTTTATGTTTTGTTTCCATTCTATGCCATGAGAAGAGTCATGTTCATAGTCGGGTAAGTTTAACCTCAGAAATCTTTATAATCTTTATTTGTTTTTGGGTTTTTTGTTTTGCTGAAAGAGCCCCCAGAAAGAAGGTAGCGGGTTTTTCAGCATATATAAAGATATGCACAAAAACAACAACAACAACAGTAACAACAAAGAAGCATGGTTGAATGAAACTTACCATTACTATACAATAACTGGAGTTTATAGTGAATCCCATTGTTAGTTTTTTCATTGTTTGGCTCCTGTAGGTAATGACAAATAATTGCATTTTAATTTTTTTATTTTTTGCAAAATGCCATGCATGGCCTGTAATTGCTGGTACCATCATACATCTATTGCATTTCCATTAATGAGAGATTTATTTGGTTTGCTCACTGTTGCAGCAGACAAGATTTGTCTGCTGCTGAAAAATATGACTTTTCCCTGTTCAAAGCAGCCCTTTGGGCTGAGGCAACTTTGCAAGCAAGTCTTAAAGAGGCCAATCCTGGCATCAGAACTTAGGGAAACTACACGTGGTTTGGACGCCTCTGGAGTCCGGTTATAACTGGCAGTATCTAAGTCAAGGTAAAAATTATCTCTAGCTCTTGGAATCAGGCTCAAATAACATCAATTCTTGTACAACAGTTTTGGGAAACGGAGATTACAATTTTTTTTTAAAAAAAAAAAAAAACTTACTTTCTCTTTTTCCACAAAGTCCACAAAAGCTGTCCTTTCAATCTCCACTGGCTGTCCCTGCCTGTCGTACAGAGCTAAGACGAAGTGGAAAAAATTGGATTTTCTGAGATTGGAAGGCGGCTGTTTCTCGAAATGTGCCCGAGCCAACCCAACACCGCTGCGGGGAGAAAAACAAGACAATGTTTCGGTGAGAATTGGAGACCCCCCTCCCCCGAGAAAGAGAGGGAGTAGGGACTTGTGGGGGGGGGGGGAGATGGCGACGGGTAGAATGGGGAGGAGGGCGGCTTCTGATTAAAAGAAGAGGGGGGGGAAACCATTGGGGAGATGCTGGGAATTACATTTGGGGGAAAAACCCGAGACTTCCTTGATTTGTCGCTAGAGCCGTAATGTGATGTAATGGAAGGCGAGAAAGAGGGAAAAGCGCCTTGTGCGCACGGGGTTGGGGGGTTGGGGGGGGCGGGAGGTGGCATTGAAGCGGAGTTCAGAGAGATTGCAATTGATGCAAAGCGCGGGGGGCGATTTACGGCCGGTGTGCGAAAACCACACGAGAGGAAAGAGAGAGAAAGGACCGTTTGGCACACGTACCTTTGCGCGGCTGTGTTAGCATCCACTACCCCAGCAGTATGCATCCATGATCGGACTGGGTTCATTCCACTGCCCAGCGGTTCTTCTTTCATGGTCGTCCCACCTCGTGGTATATTTTCCTGAATCCCAAACATTAAAACAATTTGGGGTACAAAACCAGCTTCTAACCAAACGGGGCTAAAAATAAACGACGGGAAATGTCAGAGAAAAGGGGGGGGAAAGGGGGAGATAAGTTGGTGGCTGGCGTTTCTTTCTCTGTGGTCCCCCCTCCCCGCGCTCTTTCCTTTTTCTTTCTCTCTCTCTCTCCTTGGCGACCGGAATGGAAGCGACGACTTTTACTCCCCGCGAACCGAAGCGCCGTTTCAGGTCGTTCTTGCCGTCTTCAATCTGTCCCGGCTTGGCACGACATAAACAATATACTGAGCAGAGTTCTATTTGGATGGCGTTCCAGTTTGGAGATTTTTTTTTTTAAAAAAAGTAAAAAATAAATTAAAAAAAAAAAAAAAAGCAACCCGGAGGGTTGAAAGGGGGGGAGGGGAAGGGGAAAAAATAAGTTTTTGTTGTTGTCAGGTTTTTTTTTTCAAAAACAAAAGTAGAAATTACAGCCGTCCGTATTCAAAGGTTGCCTTTTCTGTCTTTCCTTCCGTTCTTGAACAAATATATATATATATATATATATGGTTTGTTTGCAGAGGCTTCTCAATGTGGTGTCATCCTAGTAAAACAGCATCAAAAAACCTTCAGGACACTGCTGAATCGACCACTTCTGGCAAGGCTCTCCTGCTCCAAAAGACAAATAAACGAAAAAATGATTACTATGGAGGTGTTCCTGGACACAGGAGAGCGCGAAGAGGGGCCTTTAGCGTCTTGCAGAATGGATGGGAAGCGTACAAAACTCAGCCTTCTATCCCCTAGGAATGGAACCTTTCCCGGGAGCCAAAACTCTAAACCCCCGGGAACTGCGCTGTCAGATTCTGACGCTCGGGAGGCGGGGCCATCGCCATATATGGGGGGCCGAGCAAATCCTCCGGTTAGCCGAGAGCTCCACAGCTTGTTTAGTCCTGACTGACTGCTGCAGCCGCCGCCGCCGCCGCCGAGTGCAGCGCCGCGCCTCCCCCTCCCTTATAACTCAAGCGCCCCCCTTTTTACGAGATATTGTGTGTGTGTGTGTACGTACACGAATATGAATATATATGCATGCAACACACACGCGCGCCGGCAGCCAATGAAGTTACAATATTAAAAAAAAAAGTCACAGCCCAAGGACAGCTGGAGCGTCTCTCAATTTGCAAAGAATCGCGATCGTTAAAAAGACCAGTAAGCCTAAATATCAACAACAGAGACCGAGGCTCTGTGTGTGTGCGCGCGGGTGGGTGTTAAGCACGAAGCATTACAAAAGCGATGGGCTACTCCCGACACCTTCCTTCCCGGTAAAGGACCGGGAAGTCTGTGCGCGTGTGCCCGAAGGAAAGAGCGGGGGGGGGGGGGGGGGGCCCGCGGGCCGGCGGAAACAAAAATTTCGGGGCCCGGGATCCTCCCCCCCAGGCACCCACATGTTCCCCCCCCCGTCTGCCCCCTCCCTCTTTACAGCTGGATTCGGGTTGCGTTAGGAAAGGAAAGGCAATTTCGGCAAGGTTTCCTGCCTATGGAAAAGTGAATTGGCCAAGCTGGCGGGGCTTGGCTTGCATTATACACACACGCGCACGCACACACGCACCGCACAAACAGGCATAAAAATGAAAGGAGGCGCCCGCTTTGGAGAGTCCCGGGTCCAACCTTGCAAATATTACACAGGTGGTTCGCAAAGCGCGAAGGCGGCGATCGGTGCGCGGCGCTTTGCCTGAAAGCCCCCTTTATCTTCCGGTTAAAGAGAGCGAGCCCCTCTTAGGGTCAGCGGTAGAGGCGCAGCCATGGAAATGCAAACTTTCTCGTAGCGTCCGTGTGTGTGGAAGGTTCGGGCTAGCGGGAACAATAGCCGGCCGGCCCCTTTTGCGCTCCAACATCCGTTTCCAAAGAACGGCTTCCAGTGGAGTTTTGTTTTTTTTCCTTTGTGAATTGCTGTGATTATGCTTTGGTTTTATTTTAATTCTCCCCCCCCCCCCCCCAAATCAGGCTTTACAGCTACGCGCCTCTATTGATGTGCGGGAGTGGGGAAAAAAAGAAAAAACACCAACCCAACCAACCCGGGGAAAGAAATCTTTAAACTTCAAATCGATGCCTTTTGCCTTTGGGTGATTTTCTAAAGGATGGGATTTTTCTGCTTTCCTTTTAACGCTTTTCCGGTAACGGGTCAGAGCCCCATCTTTGAAACTCTGGTTTCGAGGAATCCTTAGAAGCATGTGTGCGGGTGGTTGTGGAGGGCGAGGGCGGCTGGGAGGGGAGTGCGGAAGAGATGCATATCCAAACCTCCTAAGTGCGTAAGATTGGGGTGCTGTTCGACTACTTACCTGAGAGTTTAAGTCCCATTAAACTCAATAGAACTTACACCTGAGAAGAAGACTGGGCTGAGCAATTGAAACATCCCCCTCCACCAACACCAAGTAAGAACGAAACTGCTAATTACTTGTAGAGGATTAGTCGTTGGCGGCACGAGGTGAATTTTTCTCAGATTGATGGATGAATGGATGGATAGGTATGGATGGATGTGTAGATAGAAGTTATTTTAAAGGCGTTTGCCTGCACAGGAAAGCCTTAGATAGACAAAGGGGTTTCTGGACCCTTCTTCACACACACACCTCAGCCATCTACTTTGGTTCATTATGTGAACGTATTTTAAAAAGTCAAGACGAAGAGTGAGCCCAACTAGGTATTGGGGAAAAAAAGCATTCCCCTCTCGGATGGGTTAGGAACTGGTTTTATATGAATTGGCAGGATATGTACGTTAATATTTTAATTAATCAGTGAAAATCGAAGTCCGATTTGTGTTACCAGGGGACCCCCCTCCCAATCATCCTCAAGGGTGGGGGCGGGGGTGAAAAGATGTGTTAGAAAGCAATCTATTTTGCTGGTGTTGAGGGTTAATGACTATTGCTAAAGATAAGTGAATTATCAAAGCTGTTGCTCTACCCGATCTCAAAATCCATTACATTGTTGGCCGTCTAATTAAATACGTAAGTATAATAAAATCATATTTTATGACTATTTGAGGGTAATGAGATTAGGCTTTAGCAGCGATCGCCACATATTAAAGATGCCACTGTCTATAGAATGTTAATAATGTTAAATCAAAGTGTATAGAAACTATTCATGGAAAATTGGAGGGGAAAATACTGTCTTCACAAATAATATTCAAGTATTATTGGGGTATGTTGGCAGATGTCACAGTTCTGCTGGACTGCAATTGCAGGCAAAACTAAAGTTACAAAACAGGCCGGTACAGGCAAAATAGGACCGCTTTCTTTCTCATTCTGTGGTGTGGATTCTATACAGCAGTTTGACCCGGTAAAGTTTGCTGCAGTCATTATTCACAAATAGCGGTTGTCTGGTTTCTCTCCTCCTCTCCCTCCCGCTCTTTTTAAAATACTTTTTCTAGCCTGGAGCAAAGATTGCATGGTTTTACCCCCTTTGGGGAAGTGAAGACCGCTGCTGAAGTTACTTCTAGCCCAGGTCCACAATGTCACCACGCTTCAGCCCATTTACTGTACAGTATCTTTAATTCAGATTATACATGCCAAGGCGATTTAAATCTGATTACCAAATTAGAAGGTTTTTAAAACAAATCCTTTTAAATCTGATACTGTTGACTAAAAAGGGGAGAGGGAGGCTGGGGGAAGGAGTGAAAGTTGCATAAGCCCCCCATCACATAAGGTAACGATGCTGCCCGAGAAAAAAAAAGGAGACTTTTAAACCTTTTTGACAACAAATGCAGCTGCCCCCGCTATTTTGGACGATATTAAGCGAAAATGAATGCAAATCTGTGTTCAGAAGCCATCTGGCCAGAAATAGGGAGTCAGCTGCTCTTCACATTAGACTCTGAGGCTGAATCTATTTCAGCTCATTTTCTAGATCATCTGGTCCTGAACCTAAAGCGTGGAAAATACAGTCTTTATCGTTCACCAACTTTGCTTTTCTTTCCTCGTTTCTTTTTTCTTTTTTCTTCTCTCTCTCTCTCTCTCTCTCTCTCTCTCTCTCTCTCTCTCTCTCGACTAGAAGCCATATGTATACAGAAAAACTACTCCCCGGGAATTCAACTCCAAGGATTGGTTTGTTTTAAGCATCTTCTTTACTAAAACCTTAGGTTTTCTATCCCAGCAAAGGGTTAGGGCGCAAACGCCTCGCCTCTGCCCCGGGCATAGGGAGAAAGAGGGGCGGGGGCGGGGGATTTTCTGCCTCCTGTTGAAAGGGCTACTTAGTATGAGAGGAAGATTGTTTTTAATAATCCTTCGGGGAAATCAACGTGTTCCGAGGAAAACGCGGTCTTTCTTCTCCTGAAGTGGGAAGGAGAGGAGGAAGAAGAGAAAGACGGAACCACAAAAATCTTCTCTAACAGAGCCAAGCTGTTAAGGTGAAGTTCACGCGGGTCAGGACGAGTCCGGGAAAAGGCTAGCACTGTGTTTTCTCCCGGAAGGGGGAAGGGAAGGCGTGGGGACGAAATTTGTTGAGGTTTTAAAAACTTTTGCGACCCGCGGTGGACCAGCCAGGCCTAGTTCAACACTGGAGCGGATTCGCCCTCCGCCCTTTCCCTATTAGAAGCGCCTCTCACCAGTTCAAAGGTGGAAGCCAAGAGCTGGAAGCTTCAGCTGAGCTGTTGCAAACCCGGCTGGGGTAAGAGAGCCCGACTACCGCCAATCAGTCCTTTTCCCCGCACATTCCCCTCTTCCCCAAGGACTTGACCTTAGCAAACTTGGTCAGGCAGAAGGTGAGGTGGATTTGAATGAGATTTGCATACTGCAACTAAGACCTCCCGAAGTCGCAGCCCTCCTCCTTTCTTGGAGTGTGTGAAGTGTTCCTTTTGTGTGAATTTACGGGGTGAGGCTTCAATGATCCCCCCCCCCACAAATTTGCATTTAAATAGCGACATCAAGCGATTCGCGTGCCACACACCAGTGGGCTCCCAGATGTCAAGCCGAAGTCAGTCAGATGGCCATTGCCCAGCTGTCCTTCTAAACATCATACCAGAGCATGCCGTGACCTTAAAGGGACAGAGCCCTTCCTTGGCGTCAACCACCATATAAGCTCCTTCCCAATGGGGTCGGGTGTGTGTGTGGGGGGGGGGGGGGGGACACACATCCGAACCAGCCGTTCAACCTGTTCTATTGTATAACCCTCTCTGTTAAAGGGCCAGGGAGAAAAGAAATAGCACATTGTGCCATAAATCAAAATCCCTCCACCCTTTCTTTACTTTCCTATGTTCTCTGACAATCCACGGCCATAATGATCCATAATCTTAGACCGTACAAAATCCCACTGATTCATGCTGATAGACTCATTTCTCAGGTTTGGGAA